AATTAAAAATTTGTTCGGACGAATTAGAATTTCGTTTGGATAAACTAAAAATTTGTTCGGACGAATTATAAATTCTTTTTAAAGCTATGGACTAGGGAATATACCAGAATAAGCAGGTGATCTTGTCAGTCAATGCGAGGAAAATCACAGGCTCCCGAGTCATAGAAACAACCCTGGAATTAATACGAACAGATCCCTTTTTGTGACGTTTTCTTAATTCACAAACAGGAATATTTAAAACTCATGGGGACCTTTTTTTCCTTATATACATCGCACATATGTAACAGAAATATTTCAAAAATCATTCACATGAGATAATTAATAAATGCAGGGAAGAAAATATTTTTAAATAGATAGGATGATAGAGATCAATATTATAACGAGACATGTCTTAAAAATATTTATTGATGATGTTGTTTATGGAAGTTGTAAATCATGTATTAATCACGGTGTCCTGACGCTTATTCCCATTTTCAATAATTCGTCCGAACAAATATATTTAATTCGTCCGAACAAATAACTACATGTAATTCGTCTGAACAAATTTCTAATCCGTCCGAAGAAATATCTAATTCGTCCAAAGTAATAACTAGTTTGTCCGAACGAATTTCTAATTCGTCCGAACAAATATCTATATAATTCGTCCGTACAAAAATCTAATTCGTCCGAACAAATAACTTATTTGTCCGAACGGATTTCTAATCTGTCTGAACAAATATCTAATTCGTCCGAACGAATTTCTTGTCCGAACGAATAAAAATATTTTTTTTTACCTGGCCCTCCAGCGGCGTCGTATAATAGTTATTTATACTTGTAATTTAAATTTTTTCTCTCATGAAATAAAAAATGAACCAAAGAACAAAAAAAATTGTAGTAGAAATCGTGACTGATTTCAATTTTTTTTCCCCAAAAGGTCCCTCCCAAAAGCCTAATGTATTAACTTCTGATTATATTATTAATTATTTAAATATAATCTATTTATAAGTCTGTTTTAAAGATAAAAAGAAATGTGGTAACAATAAAATAATCCTTCCCAACGAATCTTTTAGTAAAATGCCAATTCATATCATGTGAATCATGTGATATAGCTGTTCAAGAATCAATCTGATGAAGTTCAAATTAAAGTTTATGTCCGCGGTACCTCAGTCCCACAACAGAAACAGCAAAGGCGGATTCAGGGCCGGCGCACCGGGTGTGTGCCCTCCTCCCCCGTTTGAATTTTTTGTTTGTAAAATCTATTTGTCCATATCCTAAAATCAAGGAAAAACATTTTTTATTTGTGAGAACTTGTCAGCTTCCTGGGGCTACGTCCCCACAGCCTTGCATTAGACCAACTGGGGACAGATATATAGCAATAGTTGGCTCCTGTTGCATAAAAATGGGATATTGTATGGCAAGCCCTTATACTATTTATTCGTGAACTAAAATTTTTCTCGCAATTAGAGAGATATCTCTCTAGCATATACAGATATCTCTTAAGCTTATAGAGATATCTCTTTTACTAAAAGAGATATCTTTATACTCTAGAGAGATATCTCTTTAAACAAGAGATATCTCTTTTTGTGAGAGAGAGATATCTCTTTTACTTAGAGAGATATCTTAATAAGCTAGAGAGATATCTCTTTAACCGAGAGAGATATCTCTTAAAATAAGAGAGATATCTCTTTATCAAGGTTAAAAGAGATATCTATCTTAGTTAGAGAGATATCTCTTAAGATTTTCAAAAAGAGATATCTTTACAAGCTAAAGAGATATCTCTTTTAATGAAAGAGATATCTCTTTTCTAGTGATGCTTTAAATAGAATAATTAATTCTCCACTTTAAAACGAAAGTGAAACAGGAGGTAAAGTCTCTGGAATAGTTGATGTTATAAGAAAAAAGTCTGAGCTCCTGAGCAATTAGCAATTACCCAGAATAATACATGTGCTGTAGTCAAAAATGCTATAAATTCTTTACTTAAAACAAATAATAATGGTAGATTCGTTGACAAAATGCTAAAAGTTTAATATCAGGAAAACGAAAGTAAGCATATATATAATCTCAAATGCAATGGACCGAATTTTCTCAGCTTATGAAATAATCAAAGTATTTCCGTCAATAAAAGCTTACTTCCGGTAAGGGAGAAGTCATTTGAAACGGAATTTATATAAAAAAATGAAGAGAGATATCTCTTTGCAACAAAGAGATATCTCTTTTTGCTTGAGAGATATCTCTTTTATACACTTTCGAAAGATATCTCTTTCTCTTTAAGAGATATCTCTTAAGTTAAACGGAGAAAGATATCTCTTTTACTAAAAGAGATATCTCTTTAAGTAAAAGAGATATCTCCAACACTAAAAGATATATCTCTCTAGGTGAAAGAGATATATCTTTAATGTTTAGAGATATCTCTTTTCACGAAAGAGATATCTCTAAAGGAGAAAGAGATATCTTTTCAAGTGGAAGAGATATCTCTCTAATAAAAAGAGATATCTCTCTAAGTATAAGAGATATCTCTCTAAGTTTAAGAGATATCTTTTTCTCAAAGAGATATCTCTTAAGTTGAGAGATATCACTATTTTTTAAGAGATATCTCCCTAAAATGAGAGATATTTCTGTTATTTTAAGATATTTTTTTTCCGAATAAATAGTAAAAGGGCTTGCCATAGATATTGTGATTTCATCATTTAATGGACAATTTAAGCAAAAAAAAAAAATAAAAAAATAAAAAGATATCCTGCTTTGGAAAGAACAATTGCTTTTAAGATATTTAAATCCCATCGATCTAGACCAGGAAGAAAATTAAAATCAGCTGACAGATAGATAACACAGGTACGTCACGTGATTAGAGAGTTATCTAAAGACTAATCAATGGGACGGCCAGCATTAGTGAAGGCAGGTAAGAAAAATAGGAGGCGTAATCGAAGCATTGCTAATTAATTATTTTTTTCCCTTTTCACAAAGATTTATTCTTCAGACAATGACTTATCCGTCTACAATCAGAATTAAGATGTGTCGTTCAATTGAATTCCGTTAGTTAAACTTCGTAAATCTACATGTATACCTATGACAGTTTTTTTTTTTATTTTAAACTTAAAATGCCATTAATTTGTCGAAAAACATGCTACATTGTAAGACATTATAATATTTACCATTTTCTGTCATTTTAGCAATTTTTGCCCCCCCCCCCCAAATCTAGAGCGGGGTCGGGCGGACACCCCCACTCTCAGAAATTTTAGAGTTATTAAACTCACTTTGAAACTACTTATCTAGAAATTGTAGATCCGTGTTATATAAGTTGGTATGAGAAGTCAAAGTAATAAAGTTTTAAAAGTCAACGACCATCCAAAGGTAATTCATGCAAGTCCCCTCCATCCGGAAAAAAACATCCTGGATTCTGCAACAGAGGTTTTCTTCCCGAAAATTTTGAATGCAGCTAGACTTGAACAAACGTTATATTTTCAGTAACATGTCTAAGATAGATCTATTCAAGATTATAATGTTGGACATTTTATCAGGTTGGGCACAGTTCCTTTTTCGGGGAAGTATTACTGTAAAAAGGAACTATTACTCTTTTCAGTAACAAAAAACACTACTGAATTCGGGAATTTTCACTCATTTAGTCTCTATTCTTGTGTTTGTTTTTAATAAAAGATAAAGTGTAAGAATATTTTCACATCCTCTAAATATTTATTGTCTATTAAGTATATCTGTGCTCAAAACTGCAATATTTATGGCTGCAAAAAGCTGAAAAAGAGTGATGAAATATTTCTACGATATAGATTTCTTACGGTCAGCAACGTTCAGCACTTGCTAACTCGTTCATGAGAGTATTCGTTCTAATTTAATATTATACTATTTCTTTAAATGAAATCGTAATAATAATTTTGAATATCATTTCTTCTTTTACAGATGAAAATAATTATTTGAAATATTAAATTTTAAATGATATTCTTTTAAAATTGTCCTGGAATGAATGCCCTTATTAGATTCCATACTTTTGGTACATCAACAGGGACAATTATCAAATCTCATTTTACTCAGCAATGGAGGTCCGATTTTTTCAGTCAGGGAGGTTTGTTTGATAAAGATAAATTACATCACACTGTATTTTTATGCACTTTTTATTTAATAAATGAATTAGATGCATTATTTTAAAAATGTGACAAAAATTCCCCAATTGAGTAATGTTTTTATTACTGAAAAGAGTAATAGTTCCCTTTTGTAGTAATACTTCCCCGAAAAAAGGAACTGTGCCCAACCTGTTTATTCTTTAACAGGTAGCCACAGAATCTATAATTATGGATCCCCGTACCAGTGCCCAGGACGTGATACGATGTGACCTGTGTGAGACCGCTGTGGTACAGATGCACTGTGATACGTGTCTTGTCAACCTGTGTAAGGCCTGTGTGGGAGAACACATGGTATCTGATGAATCCAAAAAACATGACATAGTTCCATTGAAGCTAAGAAAATCCACTCTCCTCTACCCAGGATGTACATCTCATGGGGAGCGATGTGAAATGTTCTGTAAAAAATGTGACATTCCTGTCTGCAGCAGCTGCCTTGAATCTAATGAACATTTAGGTCATGAATTAACTAAAATTCTGCGAGTTCTGGATGAAAAGAAAGACACAGTTTCAAAACAGAAAAAAGAATTAGATGAAGTGATTTATCCCACCTACCAGGACATTGCCTCTGATGTACAAAGCAGAATGAGTCAGTTAGAAAAGAAATATGGAGATCTCTCAACAGCCATAACAAAACATGGAGAGGACTGGCACAGAGAAATTGACAAACTTGTCCAAAAACTTAAAGCAGAAGTTGATAAGATGAAAAACACCCAGTTTCAAACTCTACAGAAACATCTAGATGAAATAAACAAGACAATGTCTGACATCAAGGATGAAGTCAATTCAATGGAAACTGCAACAGACACTAATGACTTTTCAAAGCTGTATTCTGTAACATCTAGTGTAGATGTATACAGAAATCTTCCTCCCAAAATTATGTTATCGTTACCTGAATTCAGTCCAGAAAGAGTCCAAGGAGAAGATTTGAGGAAACTATTTGGAACCGTATCACCAAGTTCTTCAATTTTAGATGAACATGGCTACAGCATGAAGACAACACAAAAATCACCAGAAGCTGGATCCTCTCCTCCAGTCAAACAGCTGCTTGATGAACCAGAGACTGTCACCTCCATAGGCACTGGATACAGAAGTCTTTACAATGTGACCTGTCTGAGTGATGAAGAAATCTGGACAAGTGGAAATGACAACCTTATGAAACTCTTCAACATCAATCAGGAAGAGTCACTACTCAAGTCAATCACAACTAAGTCAGGGAACTGGACATATAGCATAGCAGTGACAAAAAGTGGAGATCTAGTTTATACTGATTTAGATGATACATCTGTGAACATTGTGAAGAATGAGAAGATAGAGGAGGTGATCCGACTACAGAACTGGGGACCTCGCGGTGTCTGTAGTACCTCCTCTGGTGACCTCCTGGTTATCATGGTCAGTGATGACAAACAATCAAAAGTTGCCCGTTACTCTGGCATCATAGAGAAACAAACCATTCAGTTTGATGATAAAGGTAAACCTCTCTTTTCATCTGGTGGTTATATCAGACATATAACAGAGAACAGGAACCTGGATATCTGTGTGTCTGACAGTGAAGCTAAAGCAGTAGTGGTGGTCAATCAGGCCGGGAAACTGAGATTCAGGTACACTGGGCATACTCCTGCTCCAAAGAACAAACCAATCAGTCCTCAAGGAATCACCACAGACAGTCAGAGTCACATCCTTACAGCTGATTATAGCAATGAGTGTGTCCACATCATAGACCAGGATGGACAGTTCCTCCGTTACATAGACTGTGGACTGAGTAGACCCTGGGGACTGTGTACAGATACAAATGACAATCTGTTTGTTGCTCAAAGATATATCAAAAAGGTTACAAAAATCAAATATCTGCAGTGATAATAATTAATATCTATTATACAAGAGGCTTACCTAAGTATCACTCAGTGAAGGGTTTATAAAAGTATGAAACAAACTGATATTTGGAAGTACATAAATAGTTCTCATATATACTCGTAAGCAAAACATAACTCTTATCAAATTGCCACACAGTACTAAAACACTCTTATTTGTCACTATCCACATGTAGACATGATTAAACTAAACAACAGTAATTGAACATACAGTAAACTAGATCTACATTTTCCTCTTGGCCTCCCTTGGTCTTTGAACATTTTTTGAATCTATATATTTATTGAAATAAACACGATAAATATCGAGATATTTTTTCTCTTTGTTTTCATCTAGTGCATGTATATACATGCCTATCTGATCATTGAAAACAATGAAAGTTAATTTGATTGTATTTTACATTGAAATATCTAATTAATGTATGATTCTTTGATTAGACTGATTTATCAATGATATTGTTGAAGATGAATAATTATCAGTTTCAAAAATAAATAATAAATTAAATTTCTTTACAAGATCAACAGAGATCTCGGGGTCATTTAAACATCATATTAGCAAGTCAAAATCTGTATTATACCTGTCAGCAGGAAACACTTACTTCTCTGCAGGTCCCCTCCATTCGAAAAAAAGCAAGTGCAAAAGGGCAAAAATAACACGGGGCGAAAACAACCCTGTATACATGCAGTATTCTATCAAGCCATGTCCTAATTAACAAGAGATGTTTGTAAAACACTTATACCCCCCTCCCCCCAATTGGAATTTTCTAAGTCCAAAAGGGCATAACTCTGTCTAAAATGGTACAATCCAATCCAAAACATTAATTGCCCTATATATTCAGCTGAAAAATCTGTATGCTTAATTTCATTTCAACATGTGCAACCTCTGCAAAGAAAATGAATGAAAACTGCAATTAAGTAGAATTTCTAAGTCCAACGAACACATGTATATATTATACAATACTAATTTAGTTTTGATCATACACTAAAACATCAATATGTTTTAATTACATTTCACTGATTGAATGATCTTTATATGGACTATAGCCATCAAGAATTCTTAATTAACACAAGCAACTATGAGGCTATTTCTTTTTGCCCAACTCCCAAAAGATAAATTAAGCAGCTGCATGATAAGATCTAGACTACCAGTAAGCTCCTGACAATTAACTCATGAGGTTTTCTCTAATTTGACATGCACATTTCTGCTATCAAAATTCTTCTTGACCAGTGCTTGATAATTATGCCCATGGGACAAACTGAATTCCTTTCAAAACATTGTTATTTGTTACAGATTGCTGTAAAGTATATGATGAAAAAATTAGTTTTTACTTAATTCAACATTTTTAAAAATTTACTTAATTCAACATTTTTAAAAATGGATACAACTATATTTTCACATTTTTTAGGATTATGAAATTTAATAAACTTTAATTTTTTTTAATTCACTTAAATTAAAGGTCACAGTGATCTTAAAATAGGCCACAACACACCTTCTACCTTAGATGTATACTTTTGCCAAGTTTGAAAGCTGGTAAATAAAAGTTTTGACAGGCAATAAATTACGATTAAGAAAATCAGAGAAGAGAGATCTTTCCTTCTGTTCTCAAATAATCCAGGTGTGTGTATAGATACATACAACAGGTGTGAAATTCTCCCAACTTCATCAAGGAGCCATCATCAAACCTTTTGGGAATCATGGTCTTTTCTCTCCAAAATTTTATCATTATTTATTGTTCCTATGGGTATCTTGAACAATAATAGAGGGTGCATGCATTGACACATAAAAAATATTTGTTTTAAATGCAAGATTGTATTTGTTGTAGCTAACGAAACATTCTTCATTTTCTTTCTTCTTGACTTTAAATTCATTACATTGTTTTTATTACATTGAAAATGTGAATTTGAACTGTTTGTCATCTTTGTGCAACATGACACTGTAAATATTGACTGTTAAAAATATATATATACACACTATGATATAAAAAATCAAATTCATTTTACTATCAACTATCACATTTTTTTTTAAAAAGGCTGGTAAATAAATGTTTTGACAGGAAATAAATTACAATTAAGAGAATCAGAGAAGAGAGATCTTTCCTTCTGTTGTCGAATTCTCAGGAGATATAGATAACACATGATCAAAGATGCCCATCTTCCCACACTAAGCTCATTAATATATCTCCTTAAGGACAAATGGATAGATTATAATTTGAATTTCTCTAAGTCTAAAGGGCATAACTCTGTAAAAAATGGCACAATCGTACCCAAAACAGAAGTTGGCCTAGATATTCATCTGATAAATCTGTATACCAAATTTCATTTCAGTATGTGCAACGGTTGTGAAGAAAATGAACGGAAACTAAGTGGACCGACAGACCGACGGAGAGCAGCAAAGCAATATGCCCTCCCTTCTTCGAAGGGGGGCATAAAAACTAGAAATAAAAATGCTTGGTGGTTAAGAATTTTCTCAATTTTGGAAGATACCTTACTGGTCATAACTCCTGAACCAGGGACCATGCAATTACAACTTTTTAAGAAGTTCCATTGCACATCATAATAATGCATTTACTTCATATGCTAAATTTCGCAGGTAGAGAAGAGGATTTTTTTTAGAATTAAAGCATGTTCATATTTAAAATTCATGGAGCCCTACCACATAACAACAGAATTCCTAAAACAATCTATCGACGGGACAGGGGTCAGGGGGTTTGAATCTCCCAGAATTGGCAGAGTTAAGACTTAAGCAAATAAAAATGATGGCGCTCAGAGAACGTCTTCAAGACTCCAACACCGTGAAAAACATCATAATCATAAATACTGGCGTCGAAAGTGAACCCAATGACCTGATAAAAATCTATACCTTTTCTGGAAATTCAAAAAAGTTTACAATTGGGTCATTGGTCAGCAGATGGCACTAGAATAATATTTTAAAGAATCTATAACTTTGTGTATATGAATGTCCCATCTTTATGTTATACAAAAAAGTGGCATCGATTTGAAATAACAAACAAACACAAAAAAAATGTATTTTAATTTTATTTAATTGATTTTTAAAAAATATATAATTGTATAAAATCATCATAAATCCAGTAAAAATATAATTCAATGTAGATTGCAATAGTTTGTATACATATTTTCAATATGTATTAACTAATATTTTACAACAATGCGGAAAATTGGACATTTCTTCAAATGATAAGTACACTTGAAGTTTACTGATATGTTTTTACGTATAACTATACATGTAATATTTTGTGTACAGTACACATGTATATAAAAACTATACAAAAATACCAGGAATGTATGGACACAATGTAAAAGAAAACACATTTACTGAAGAAAAAAATCACTGTTAAACAGTTACAAGGACGCAGTCTCAGCCTGTTACACAGAAAAAGAGCACAAAAATAGCATAACATGGACAAAATGTGTATTAAGTGGAATAATGAAGAATCAAGACAACCCTGGTCACTTCCGTTATCAGTATAAAATGAATGTCCTTGTGATATAGATGACAATACTTTTCTAAATGAAAATGATCGAATTTAAAGACATTGTCTTGTTACAAACATTACAGTAACAAAAATTCTGCTCACAAGAAAAGGGTGTAACAATAATGTACTGAATGTATCCTGATATATCATGGCACGCTACTGTTACATCATGATAAAAAAAATATCATAAAACAGACATTAAGCCGTTGTACAGCTTTACAAAGCACTTAAGATTATGCATATTACGTGTTAGCCTCATTACTTTGTCAGGATACCAAGGGAAGACAATCCAGAAAGGGGGGGGGGAACTCATCATTCAATAAACATTCAAAATAATTTTATGAAATATAATCAAGTTTATTCAAGAAATTGATAAATCTCAATGGGAAGAGGGGGTTATACGAAAATTAAATGAAAAAAAAAGTTCATTGATTAGTAAGAAAATAAAATGTGTTGAAATGAAAATGATTCCCTGAATTTGACAAGTTTGATAAAATACTGAGACAATTATTAAATATTGTACGTAATTAGAGATTAAAATTAATGTTAACTGATACAACAAGATTTGGACTGATTAGTCTCCAGAATGTCCTGACACGACCTAGAGTGACCTGTCTTACGTAGATTACTCTGGATTGTCTCCCCTTTGTCGAGTGACGTGTTATTACTTTTACGGAGAGTGTAGGTTGATTCCCCTTGGTTGAGGGATGTGCGGCTTTTGTGGATGGTGGACAGGTGGAGAGAGGACCAGGTCACACTACAAGATAGTCACAACACCCAGGTTACAACATGCAGCAGAAAAAATTAACAGACACTCCTTAATCCTCAGTCATCAAGATTTAAGGTTCACTGACCATCATTTCACCAAAAAATAAGACAATTTATCAACTTTAAATATAATGAATTTCAAATTAAAAATGCAAACAATTTCAGGAAAATTTAACACATATGCCTTTTGAATTAATAATTTTTTAAGAGTATAGTAGTCATTAATACCAGTAAGAGTTATCTCTCTTTTTAAGGGGTCAAGTAACCTTAAGACAATTATTCTATGCAATATATTAAATTCTTCAGTTGGTTCTTTTTTTGTAGATTTTTTTGTAGAAGTGTCTGTTGATCTTGTTAAATAGGGGTATGTGAACTTTTATAAATCCATGTGATGTTAATCAGAAAGAATGAAAGTAAGAAAAGAAACAAGAGTGGAATATTCTACAGGCCCACAATGTGAGGATCTATATAAAACATGATGAAACAAATTTGTTAGTTTAAAGTGAAAATTGATTTCTATAACGGTTAAAATCATTCTCCTTTGTCATTTTCAATTACAACTAAGTTAATTTAGATTCTCGGTTAATAGATATTTACAAAGTGTAATATATTAATTTCTATGTAGTACATACGCTATATGTACAAGCACTGAATATACAAAATAATACTATCAACTGAAGTCTGACCTAAAAAACATTACACAGTGAGTATAATAATATGATAATGCACGTACAATTCACATACTGTACAATCAACTGTCAACAATACCTTGTGGGCAATGGATTATTTAAATCATATTAAGTAATGCTTAGCATAAATATTGCACAGTTCATAAAGAATAAGATAAAACATGATCAACCATCAATTCAAATGTTTATAATTGATAAATATTATTAACTATCAATTTGTTTATGATTAATTAATGATATGCAAGTATTTGATAATGGATTATTTTTCAGTAGTAAACTTTGGCCTATACATTAAGTACATGAACAAATTCAGATCTCGGTTTCAATTGGTTCCGGTCGCCTATGATTAGGTCTCTGGTTATCTAAGTAAAGCACCGGACTATCACGAGTCTGGTTCAACTGCTCCCTACTGTGAGTTAATGGAGAATGTCTGCTCCCTTGATTGAGCTGGTCACGACTGCTCGTCCTTTGAGGCGGGGGCTGTCGATTGAGCTGGTCACGGCTGCTGCTTCTGTAGGGCGGGGGCTGGTTGTAGAGGGCCCCTGGGGGGACTCTTGGGGGACTTTGGGGAATGGGTCCATGTCCCCCCGATACAGAGTGTCATTCATGTCATCAATATCTGCTTCCTCTAGGTCAGCATGGCTTTCACCCGTGGACAGATCCGGCATGCTACCGTCTGGGTTCGGAAGTGTGCTCTGACTTCCCATGCGATAGTCCATGGAAGCCATATCACAGGGCAACCCATCACTTCTTGAAATAGGAATACTGTTCACACTCCCGATTCTGTACACAGGGTGAATGTTATTGGCACTATCTGGGGTGAAGCGGACATTTTCTGCCAGCGGTGAGAATGGCTGGGTGGAGGTGGGGGAGTAAGGAGGAGGGAGACTCATTGTCGTGTAGTCTGGGCTGTAGGGGGCGCTGACAGGGGACCTCAGGGCCTCATTATAGGAGGGAATGTTGTCATGGCTACCATCATACCCGGGATTTGTATACGTTCCCTTGAGATAATCCATGTTGTCCATCTCACGTAAGTTACGTGAGAGATTGGAGTTGCTTTGATTGGTGTAAGGATACCTATTATCCCTCCACGGAGAGGAATAATTTGTCCCGTCCGATTTATCCTGGGGCGGGGTGTACCCTGGGGCCCTCACTGTCTGAGGGAGATGCTCGTTATCCAGAAAAGCTTTATTTTTGTATCCTGCTTCTGGAAACGAATCGTTCACACTCTCTGGGTCACTCTCACTCTCACTAGCACTGGTCTCCCTCACTTGGTCGGTCAGCCAGTCAGGCTTCCTGTCAATAAGATGGAGGTCCCCCTGACTAAGATGTAAGGGGTTCAAACTCCTGTTCAGGCTTTCCTTGCTACTCCCAAAGTTAGAGCGAGGGGGAGCCACTAAAGCCCCGCCCCCTCATAATATGAACGACAGATCCAGGTTCTTATCTCCGTTACCCACGTAACAGGATCCGTATAGACGGGTACCGGGGACGTGATAATGAATGTAACATAACCTTAACTACGGAGGGTGACCAGTCCACTGTTGCACTCAAACGTAAAACTTCCTTTATGGACCTTAATGGTGATTGTTGCTATAGATTTATGAGGACTGCTCTCCCCTATAAACAAGCAAGCTATTTCTAAAAGACAATCATTATAGAGAATGATTTCAAAAAGTAATTAAATAATATAATTAAAAGATTGTTTGGAAAAATGGAAATTCTGCTCACTCAACTATTTTACTGTTAAGAACGACATAAACTACATGTTATGTTATAATATAGATGTGCGTAAAAAGGACACACTTCAATTAAAATTTGTAAAATATGAATTTGAATTAAAAATAAGTTCTGACATTTAAAAATTCTATTTATGAAATGAAGGATTTACAAAAACACATCAACCACGAAACAAACCAGAATGATATGGTCATTGGGGCTCCAACCTAGCTACAGCTCTTTTCACAAATTCAGGAATGGGCAAACAAGAGGATTTTCAGAATTATGCATGATACTAAAATCAATGGAGCCCTACCATATAAATCAAAATCCCTAAAACAATTCAATCGACGAGAGAGGGGTCAGGGTGTCTGGACCTCCGAGAATTTGCAGACTTAATAGATCGAGATCTACTAGAGAACCAGTATGGACTCCAACACCATGAAAAACACATGATGAATTTTGTTGGAATCGTCCTTGCTCATCATAATTAAATTGTCTGCTTAATGTCCAACTTGGCAGAGAATATTTTCAAAGAATTAATGCATTTTCTCTGTACAAATAATTTACATGTATAAATAGAGCCCTAACACCTATTTTCCTGACCAAAGACCCCTAAATTTCACAATTTTGGTAGAGGGTTTAATGTCACTTACAATCATGTTAGCTTGGAGTCAACAAGTTTAAAATTAAAGACTGCATAAATTTGGGTTATTTGGGGCTCATCCCTCAGGCCCCAGAGAGTTTGGAGCCATGATTTTCAAAATTTTTGTTCCCCACCACTCATAACATCAGAAATTAAGAAGCAAAAATATCCAAATGTTCATGTTCAACACTTGCTGGCCGAAACATATAGCAACAGATCAGCTGAGTGACCAAATGAAAATTGACCCTTTTTTCTGGAGATTAAAAATTGTTCTGAGTTTGGGTCATTTGTCAGGAGATGGCACAAGGATAATTAAGATGATCAAAAACTCCGTGTTCATTTATGACGCATCTTTATGATATACAAAAAAGTAGCAAATATTTGAAATAAACACAAAAAGAAATGTATTTTACTTTCATTTAATTGATTTTTCTAAAAATATATATTTGTATAAAAAACACCATAAATCCAGTAAAAATATAATTCAATGTAGACTGCAAAAGTTTGTTTACATATTTTTAATATGTATTAATACATATTTTTAATATGTATTAACCAATATTTTACAACAATGCAAATATTTGCGGAAAATTGGACATTTCTTCAAATGATAAATACAGTTGATGTTTACTGATATGTTTTTACGAATACATGTCATAATTATGATGTGTACAGTATATAAAAAATATACAACAATACCAGGAATGCATGGACACATGAAAATGAAAACACATTTACTGAAGAGGAAAATCATGCACTGTTAAACAGTTACAAGGACATTGTTACACAGAAAATGAGCACAAAAATAACATAGCATTGTCGATGTGTGAATTAAGTGGAATGGTAAAATATAAGACAACCTTGGTCAAGTCTGTTTTGGATATTAATGAATTTCATTGTGTAATAGATGATGAGGCATTCGTTTTCTAAATGAAAATGATCGAATTTAAGACACTTGTAACAACCATCACAGTAAATAAAAATTCTGTTCTCAAGAAAAGGGTGTAACAATAATGTACTGAATGTATCGTGATATATCATGACACACTAGAGTTATATCATGATAGAAAACATCATAAAACAGACATAGAGCCGTTGTACAGCTTTAAACAGCAGTTAAAATTATGCATATGTGTTATACACATTTTCATGTAAGCATATCAAGGGAAGACAATCCAGAAAGGGGGAAAACTCATCATTCAATAAATTATAATAATGTTATGAAAGTACTGTCCATATCAAAGATCTTTTTGTTGTTCATTATGTTAACTGTTCATATCTTTACTTGTTCAATTGTTAAACTCTTTTTGAACTAACATACCCCATGAAGGGGGCTTTAGTGACATAAAAAGTTTCAAAAGAAATGCAATCAAGTTTTTTCAAAAAATTAATAAATTTTGGGAAGAGGGGTTGTACAAAAATTAAATGAAAAAAAAAATGGTTCGGTGATTAGTAAGAAAGAAAATTTAATGTGTTGAGATGAAAATGATTCCCTGAATTGGACAAGTTTGATAAAATATTGAGACAATTATTAAATATTGTACCTTATGAGAGATTAAATGTTAACTGATACAACAAGACTTGGACTGACTAGTCTCCAGAATGTCCTGACACGACCTAGAGTGACCTGTCTTACGTAGATTACTCTGGATTGTCTCCCCTTTGTCGAGTGATGTGTTACTTTTACGGAGAGTGTAGGTTGCTTCCCCTTGGTTGAGGGATGTGTGGCTTTTGTGGATGGTGGACAGGTGGAGAGAGGACCAGGTCACACTACAAGATAGTCACAACACCCAGGTTACAACATGCAGCAGAAAAAATTAACAGACACTCCTTAATCCTCAGTCATCAAGATTTAAGGTTCACTGACCTTCATTTCACCAGAAATAAGAATATTTATCAACTTTAAATATAATGAATTTCAAATTAAAAATGCAAACAATTTCAGGAAAATTTAACACATATGCCTTTTGAATTAATAATTTTTTAAAAGTATATTAGTCATTAACACCAGTAAGAGTTATCTCTCTTTTTTAGGGGTCAAGGAACCTTAAGACAATTATTCTATACAATTTATTAAATTCTTCAGTTGGTTCTTTTTCTTTGTAGATTTTTTTTTGTAGAAGTGTCTGTTGTTCTTGTTAAACAGGGGTATGTGAACTTTTATAAATCCATGTGATGTTAATCAGAAAGAAGGAAAGTAAGAACAGAAACAAGAATGGGATATTCTACATGCCCACAATGTGATGATCTATATAAAACATTGTGAAATGGAATTTGTTAGTATAAAATGAAAGATTGATTTCTCTAACTGTTAAAATCATTCTCCTTTGTCATTTTCAATTACAACTAAGTTAATTTAGAGTCTTGGTTAATAAATATTTACAAAGTGTAATATATTAATTGCTATGTAATACATATGCTATATGTACAAGCACTGAATATACAAAATAATACTATCAACTGAAGTCTGACATAAAAAACATTACACAGTGAGTATAATAGTATAGCAATACACGTATAATATACATACTGTACAAACAACTGTCAATAATACCTTGTGGGCAATGGATTATTTAAATTATATTTAGTTATGCTTAGCATAAATATTGCACAGTTCATAAAGAATAAGATAAAACATGATCAACCATCAATTCAAATGTTTATAATTGATAAATATTATTAACTATCAATTTGTTTATAATTAATAAATGATATGCGAGTATTTGATAATGGATTATTTCTCATTAGTAAAACCTTGGCCTATAGATTAAGAACGTGAATAAATTCAGATCTCGGTTTCAATTGGTTCCGGTCGCCTCTGATTAGGTCTCTGGTTATCTAAGTAAAGTACTGAATTATCACGACTCTGGTTCAACTGCTCCCTACTGTGAGTTAATGGAGAATGTCTGCTCCCTTGATTGAGCTGGTCACGGCTGCTCGTCCTTTGAGGCGGGGGCTGTCGATTGAGCTGGTCACGGCTGCTGCTTCTGTAGGGCGGGGGCTGGTTGTAGGGGGCCCCTGGGGGGACTCTTGGGGGACTTTGGGGGAATGGGTCCATGTCCCCCCGATACAGAGTGTCATTCATGTCATCAATATCAGCTTCCTCAAGGTCAGCATGGCTTTCACCCGTAGACAGATCCGGCATGCTACCGTCTGGGTTCGGAAGAGTACTCTGACTTCCCATGCGGTAGTCCATAGAAGCCATATCACGGGGCAACCCATCACTTCCTGAAATAGGAATACTGTTTACACTTCCGATTCTGTACACAGGGTGAACATTATTGGCACTATCTGGGGTGAAGCGGACATTTTCTGCCACCGGTGAGAATGGCTGGGTGGAGGTGGGGGAGTAAGGAGGAGGAAGACTCATTGTCGTGTAGTCTGGGCTGTAGGGGGCGCTGATGGGGGACCTCAGGGCCTCATTATAGGAGGGAATGTTGTCATGGCTGCCATCATACCCAGGGTTTGTATAAGTCCCCCTGAGATAGTCCATGTTGTCCATCTCGCGCGAGTTACGTGAGAGATTGGAGTTGCTCTGATTGGTGTAAGGATATCTATTATCCCTCCACGGAGAGGAATAATTTGTCCCATCTGATTTATCCTGGGGTGGGGTGTACCCAGGGGCCCTCACTGTCTGAGGGAGATTCTCGTTATCCAGAAAAGCTTTATTTTTGTATCCTGCTTCTGGAAATGAATCATTCATGCTCTCTGGGTCACTGTCACTCTCACTAGCACTGGTCTCCCTTACTTGGTCGGTCAGCCAGTCAGGTTTCCTGTCAATAAGATGAAGATCCCCCTGACTGAGATGTAAGGGGTTCAAACTCCTGTTCAGGCTTTCCTTGCTACTCCCAAAGTTAGAGCGAGGGGGAGCCACTGGTTTGTTTCGTGGTTGAGGTGTTGGTCTCCTTGATGAAGCTTCAGACAAAACAGGAGAATTCCTCATGGTTTTTACAGGATATGAGTCCACAGGGAGAGGAGGTGGAGGTGTGGGTGGGGTGTCTGGGTTGTAATAGTTAGACCTGTCATTCATATTAACACTTCTTTCACTTCCATAATTTGGCTTCTCTGAGATGTTAGGAAGCCTCCTCAGGGATTCTATCTGATTCTCCACTCTGTTAGCCATATTAGGAGAGTACTCCGCCTCGTCAGCTGTGGTGGTGAAATCGTCAAACTCGTGCTCCGAGAATCCATCATCAGTGTAACCCCCATCCGTGTCCACAGGAATTTCAGGTGGGGCTGGTGGTTTTACGGGGGGCCGCTTCACCCCTGGGGCCTGAGGAGGCAGGATGGGTTTCATCACGGGAGGCTGTGGTGGTTGTACAGGCTTCGCCTCCGGGGGTCGGTCCAGACTGTTGTTGCTGCCCCCTGTGTTCCTCCCCAGTGTAAATCTGGTCGGTCTCTGAGTCCGGGGAGAATTCCGTGGGGAATTTCTTGGAGAATCCTCCTTCAGTCGATCAAAACTTCCCTTACCATTCACGAGTCTGGTGTGCCCATTAGACAGAATCATACTCAGGCTTCCATTAGAGGAATTGACATTGTCTAGACGATCTCGGGAACCAAGACGACCATTAGGTACATCCAAACGCTCTAGAGACCTATTGGGGCCCCTATCTCGGCTTCTAGAATCAAGACTAATGTTAGACAATGATACTTCATCATCTATCAAATGTCCTTTAGATGAAGTTACAGAATATTTATCATCAAATCGTCGTTTTCCAGTTGCCGTGGACAACATGGTCACAGTTGATCGGGACCTTACAGATGACCTAACAGAGGAGCGAATGGATGCTTGCCTTTCAAATCTTTGCTCCTTTCTTCCCTTGGACTTGACTTTCCACAGAATGGCTAGGATAATGATGATAATGAGGGCCGTCCCGAACACACCCGCTGACACTCCTATAGCTATAGCCAGGATGTCACTCCCCGGGGGGTTAATGTAGGGATCTGTAAAACACAAAAATAAATTTTTAGATGTGATATAAAGTTCAAAATCTCTAAGAGAAGGTTAATATAGGGATCTGTAGCAGGTCTCAGACATTATTTGTTGTGGTGTAAACATGTAGCTGAAAGTATCTGACCACGTAAAATTTTTCTGTTCTTCAAAAATATCTAAATACGTTTATAATTACACGCATTACAATACATTTTTAGAATTTCCTAATACTAAACATTAACCTTAGCTCAAGGGCAATCATCATAAATTTTTGTCACATCTAAATTTTATGATCTGGGTTTATGAAAAGAAAATAATGTACAAAAGACAAAATGTGCCTTAAAATTGACACCAACACTCTCCTTTATAAATTGTTGCAAAGACAACCCACCTTTCTCACAAATGAATGGATGAAGGATTCTCTGACAGTCTTGTTCAGCGACGATGAAGTCATCCTGAAACGCACTGCAGTAACCAGGGGCGACCTCAGAGTAGACCCACACCCTCAGGTTCTTACTGTAGACGTTCTCCGTTAGTCGTAATAAATAACGCAGGAACGGACCCTGCTTATCTGCCTCCGCTAAAAATCCCTGGTTATCCTGTCAAACAAATATTAACAATTAATTCTCATGAAAACGTTCTTTTGTTAATTTTTTTTTTCCATTTCAGATCTTTAAAATTCAATCTCAATATTATGAATTTTAACATTCTGAATGGCAATTAAAATTTCACATGCATTAAAATTCATATTTCTATGAAAATTTTGTAGCATATCTATTATTTTTATAAGAAACTTTGTCTCGTTTTTCTCTGATACTTGCCCTGCAGAATTGGCCAGCTTGTGCATAGGGAAGAGCAGCCCCCATGTATCTATAGCAACGGTCAGCATTCAGGGTCCAACCAGGGGGACATTTACCTGTCAACATAATAACGAATCAATCACTTTATGTTTGTAAATGTAGAAGACAACCAGGGGGACATTTACCTGTCAACATAATGACAAATCAAAAATAAATCCAATATATTACTATAGATGTTGATTACCTAATTTCCATTTCATCGACATTTTTGGCCTTGAAATAAAGATTAACATTTACATGCTTATCATAAATGGCAACAGTCACTGTGATACTTACAAATATATCACTAGCATTCTAATCCAGACAAAACTCACCACTGACTAGGGACATATTGCTGACTCTGTAAGGCTACCAAAACTTACCACTGACTAGGGACATATTGCTGACCCTGTAAGGCTGGAATATAACTTACCACTGACTAGGGACATATTGCTGACCCTGTAAGGCTACTAAAACTTACCACTGACTAGGGACATATTGCTGACTCTGTAAGGCTACTAAAACTTACCACTGACTAGGGACATATTGCTGACTCTGTAAGGCTACCAAAACTTACCACTGACTAGGGACATATTGCTGACCCTGTAAGGCTACTAAAACTTACCACTGACTAGGGACATATTGCTGACTCTGTAAGGCTACCAAAACTTACCACTGACTAGGGACATATTGCTGACTCTGTAAGGCTACCAAAACTTACCACTGACTAGGGACATATTGCTGACCCGAAGGCCTACAAAACTTACCACTGACTAACCCCACCAATTGTTTGTGGCATCCACGGGAGTATCAGCTACCTGAATCCCTTGGATAATTCTGTAAAAGGCATAGAAAAATATGTAGACTATCATGATACTAGTTTAGCAACACACATGAAGAGATTTTAGTATACAGTTATTGACAGATTTATTTCCTTTAAAAGCATTCTAAAATCAAAACAAACTAAAATGAAATGGTCTTTATCAAAGTAAGATTTTTTCATTCATTCTTGGAATAATATCTTTCAAAAGTGAGTGTGGTGAATTTCAATGTCTATTGAGAAGATAAACTTACTTTCGCTTATCATTTGCAAGAAGTTCGAAGGCACTCTCATCATTAACCAGGTAGTTATTCTGAAACTGTGGATTCCCACTGCCCACAGCTAGCACTGCCCGGAACAGTGCAGTAGCATTATTCTCGTAAACCCAGTTCCCTATGTACTGCTGGGTGGCACTGGTATCCACCTCGCTGAACGTCCTAATGATGTGGTGCCCCGTGTTGTTTACCAGGACGTTAAACGTAAAGTTCATTCCCACAGTCTGTACATGTACCGTATCCCGATAATCACCTGCCGTGTTGTTATAAATGTAATTCTCATAAATGTGCATCTTCTGGAAGTGATGGCCGCTGATGTTGAGCGTTTCTCCGTGACTACCGAAGGAGAAGACGTTGTTTGTGATGTTTCCGCGGAGCAGATTCTGGGTGGACGTCGTGAAGGCTTGACAGAATAGCCCCCCTTTGTTGCGGTTGACAAAGTTGTGCTGGAAGTTGAAGATCTTGGTGTTCTGGATCCCAATGTTGATGACAGGCTGGGACGTGAGATTGAGGATCCCCAGGCCGTTGTTCTCGATCATACAGCTGTCAATGTAGAGGGAGGGACAGACCTCGCCCACATTCTGGTACAGTATGGCACCGTCCTCATTGTTTGTCACCATCATCTGCTCAAAGCGATGAGCCACTGTACTGTCTGGAAGAAATTTAACACCTTTTAGTAAAAAATTTAAATATTGACAACATGTTAATCAAAGCATCATTAAATGATTTGACTAGAATGCTCAAACACACTTTTGTAGCATCGATCTTGAAAATATTTTAGTATGCTACAGAAATATTACCAAAACTTCTAATCAGCACTTGTTACAGATAAAGGTACAGTGTAAAAATCAAGAACTGCATAGAATAATATTTTTCTAAATATAAACTATATTTTTAGACTTTGTGTATCTGAATTAGTACAAACCTGGATACGCCAAGTCTGAGAGAGGAGAAGTTGTTATCTCCGCAATAAATCCGTAATCTTCGTAGGCGTTAGAGGCGTGAATGTGGATGCCTATGGTGTCGGATTTACTGAGGTACCGTCTTCCTGTAGCGTCGGATTTACTGTGGGCATCCAGAACCCCGATCCTGCTCTCCTCCGACACAGAGTTACCGTCAAAAATCTCCAACAAATTACGGTAAAACTCGTCGTAATACAGATTAAACTGAAGAAGTCGGAAGGAAACTTTACGTAAGGGATTCTCACTGCGGATGATTTTAACACAATCAACCAACAGCTCTGAGTATTTATAGTAGATAATCAGTCGATTTTTCACAGTTAATTCCTTTTCCATTTTACAAATGTCCACAAGCCCAGACATGAAGTAAGGCACAGTATTCACAGTCAATGGATTGAAAGAGGAAAGCTCCGCATTGCGAGATTCTCCATTCAGAATGAGGAAATTAATGCCATACCCAAGGTTCTGGTCAATATTCATGGTTTTGATGATCATCTCATATCGCGGAGCTATGATGTCCATTCCGTTCCACAGACTATTGGTGATGTTAATGTTGTTGACCTTGGGTGACCTGTAGGTTGCCTGGATAGCTCCTACTCTCTCACCATGTAGCATGCCTGCTCCGTAAATGTCAATATTCTCTAAAACAGATCGTTTATCGTCTTGGATGTATAGTGTTGTATCCTCCTCATATGTTGGAGAAGCGATTCGAATATTTCCCCAGTAAGACAGCTTGGAATCCAGGTTTCTCTTTCCACATCGGATGTAGGTGTAATTAGCCCCTTGTATGCAGTCCTGGATTTTGTAATTAATTCTTTTCTGACATTCGTCCAATGAGTACTCATCTCCCACACAATAATAAGAATACGTCCAGAACTCCTTGACAAAGTACATAGGTTTCTTGTAGATGAAATGGTCATAAAGATGTGTGAAGCGGACGTCCACATTGAGTGTCTCCATCCCGAGCCCACGACACACCACCTCTGCTGTTTTCCTATTGAATTGATTGTCACACATCAAGCTCCAGGAATTCGATGAAGAATTAAACAACTCCAAGAAACCTTCATTTTGTGGTATCTCTCCCTCAGCATCTCTCTTCAGTCTCATGCTGTTGGAGTAAAATGTCTGGGTGTTAACCTGTGGGAGAGGGATGGGAATGTTTGGTCCCGGGACGACGGGGCGGAAGGAAATCCTGCTGTACGAGAGACCCTGGGCGATCAGCTGACCCAGCACCAGGATTCCCACATTAGGATAAAACTCCAGGGTGGTCCCTGGCTCTATGGTCAGCCTAGCATTGGGCATGACTGTGACGTCTGCTACGATGTAGAATTTAGAGGAACCAGTCAAGGCCTTGTTTCCGGTTATCCTTCCCTTCACTGAAGGGAAATTTAAACCATTTTCTATCTGTGTCCCTGTGGATGGTAGACTGTTCACATTGTCAGCTGTGAGCTGGGGAAAGTAGTCCGCGATGGCGTAGTTATTCCAATCATCAAAATCAAAGATTCTCTCCACGATTTTAGCCTGGATTGCTGTTCCCCACCAGTTCTCTTCCACATCCATCTTGTTCTCTAGTGAGAGAGAAGTCACGCCTGCTATCAGTTCATACTGGTAATCAGGATTGTATATGAGATTTCTCCTCAGAGTCATGTTCTGGACACCTCGTACTGCCACTGCAAATGAAGACGGTGTATAGTCAGTATTCATTGTCCACCCTGGCCCCGGCCTGTTGCTTTTGATGTTGTTAAAATGACAGAATCCCTTCGGTTTACTGTACTCAGCATGGCTCTGCATATCAACCTCTACAGCATATTTCCCTTGATTGTTTGAAATCTCATTGTTGAAGATGACTAAGTCTTTTTCCATCCCCGACAGCAGGATCAGGCCTCGTCTACACGTATTCTGTACAAATCTTCCATTGCTGATCTCCACATCCGCGTAGTAACCATTAATAGTGAAAGCAAAGTTCTTATTGTTCTCAAAAATCGTCTGATTGACATGAACAGAGTGAAATTTATTTTTCTCTCTGATGTCGTTCACCCTCGGAAGCTCGATTTCCAGACCTCCATAACGGTTATCCTTCATGATGGTTGTGTAAACGTTCCACTTCCACACGTTATTTGAGAAGTCCACGTGGTTGTGATCGGCTATCACCGCCTTCCCATTGTTCTGTATTGTACACTGATGTAATGTGTACGTTATCTGTCCCAGCCTCTCCGGTCTCGTCATTTCTTCCTGTGTAGGTATCAAGTGCTCGTGGTATTTCGTTAGACTGGGAATGTACATGGCCTCCATTTGATTGTCTTTGATATCCACTTTTGTGAAACGGATTTCTTCTTCTGCTACCCTGTGAAAAATCTCCAATTTTTCATTGGATGGGTTGTTATAATGTTTGGTCACAATTCCTTGATAATTATTGGTAACCTCAGCATGACTGACTTCAATAATTGACTTGATAGGATCAGAGGAATATTGCCCTAATAAAGGAAAACATAATTATACTTTAATTTCCATATTTAATAAATACTTAAATTTTCCATAGCAATTCACAGTATATATTGCAATATAATTCTTCCTAGTTAAAATTAAAATTTTACTCCTTTTTTCAAAGTAGATGCATGTAAATCATTAAAAAATTACAGTTACATTGAGCATGACATTCATTTAACATTTTGAGTAAGAAATAAATTAAGACAGATCTCTACAAAGACTTACTGGCATGAGCTGCGAAGGCTAGCCGCCCTGACCTGACTCCGCGAACCACTAACTCGATCGTCAGGTAGTTCTTCCCCTCTGACGTTATTGGGAAGTCCACCAAATCCTCCTCTATCTGCCATTTTTTCGTCGTTGGGGAGATCCCGCCTCGGTGTGAGTTGTAAACGGTCACCTTCTCCACGCTGGTCAGCGGGTTGTAGTCCAGGACTTGGAGGGTGATTCTGTAGTCTTGACGACTGACCGAGAGCTCCATTCTATAGGTGCTGTTCTCCCTCTGCGTCCCCGGCTGGGATATGATAAACGCCATCGAGTTCTCCCCCAACTGGTAATTTTTATTTCCGAAATACTCCATCCGACTCTGATGGAGGAAATTTCTCACACTCAGACCCTCGTACTCGGTAAAGAATGGGTCATACACGAATCCTCCTTTCTGGTTATAGTTCATAGTGGACTCTGTGATCTTCAGGAATGGGCTTCTAGTGAGTAACCCGTGACCCAGATTCCTGACAAAATGACATTTCTCAAAAAGATTCTCCGTGAACGGGTTGGCGTATTTGATGTTGACACCGTCAGACACGGAGTCAGTGATCTGCAGTGCGGTGATTTTGTAGAAGTTGTAGTCAATGCGGAGAGCCGGGGTGAAGGTCATGGCCTGGTAGTCTAACTGTCCTGCCTTTTGGATGATGACATGTTTTATCTGGGTCTCACGTAACTGACCAAACGTAGGAATAGCAGGAATTGTGATGCCTGTAACATGAACAACAAACTGTGTCATCATGGTCAAATTAATCATGAACTTTATGATTACATTTCTTTGTGTATGTAGTTTATGATTTTAACATGCAATTTTTTTTAATATAGGATGCTTAAAGCACTAAGGAAATCAAATTTACAGAATTTACAAAATATCTTTAAATTTGATCAGTATTCGAACTAAGATACAAAGGAAATTACACTTTTGAAAATATTTGCTTGTCCATACCTGACCAAGTAGGTTTCTGGCACCTGATGTAAACAACATTCTCAAACTGGCAGTCGAAATCTCCCCGTTTTATGGACTGACACTCACGCAGGTCGGTGTCTAGGTTTGTACAGGTGACGGAGCTCAGCTCGATGACAGAGGATGACCTAACCTTCTGGTAAACCAGGCCGTAGTCAGGGTGATAGGTCAGACCCAGTTGTTGACACACCACCATCGCATTCTCTTTGATCCACCCCTAAAATATAGAAAAACAAAAGTGGACACTGTTCAAAGGGGAATTTGTTTTCTGAAAGGTTTTGAAATTTGTGTTAAGATATAAGGAACCAATTAAATACATGTATATGAAATAATGAACATCAAATTTTGTGTCCATATCAGAGACCTCTCTTATCAATGCTTTGAAGGCAAATTTTTGGTGTTAATATCCTATTGTTATTTACAGTTTTTAAATTTTATAATTTATTGCAATATAAAAACAATTATTTAAATCACATCTGCTAAAACTTACATGTTGACAGACTGCTCCCCAGCGCCCGTTAATGTTGACCTCTACACGACCTTCGAACTCATCCCGTCCGTCGGCCAGCCTGACGGCATCCGTCCTGTTACTTATCTCTGTCTGATTGGCTGGTTCATTCAGCGTAAACACGATTGGAGACATAGCACTTCCCCCGTCTGCCTGTAATGTACCGTGAATCACCATGCCGATAGAGTTCTCAAACAGCAGAGTAGTGCCGGGTAAGATTTTAAGGATTGCATTAGGAAGAATAAATATATCCCTGTCCACGTAATACAGTTTGGTAGCGGGGTCAGTGGTGAAACCCTCTACATCCAGAATACCCCCGAATTTATTCTCCCTCCTGAAGGGCCACCGGTATTCTGTTTCTGTGATGGTGGTCTTGTCCCCATACAACCAACCGTCCTTCAGTACAGGATAGTATTTGATCTGCGCCAGATTATATCGATCGTCGAGATCAAAGATTCGGTCGTAAATAGTTCCATGTTCGGTAGTCTCCCACCAGTTTACGCTGCCATTGATTATCACAGAAGGGTCAATCAGGTGTGTCGCTATGTCTCTTACAGAGTCTGGGTTAAAGATGTGGTTTCTTTGTACGACAATGTTACTGGAGGACACGATAATTGGAGCATTGGCGTGACTCCTGGGATTGAGATACTCTGACGTATTATTGATAGCGTTTCCTATCACTTTGTTAAACTTGAACTCCATGCGCTGATTGGGTGCATTCTGGGTCAATCGGAGACTTATACAGTATCGACCATAATTTTCCTTAAATGTGTTCTCATAAATACGATAATTTACAGCAAATTTTGCATACCACTTGCTGACCAGTAAATCATATCCATTGTCAATTCGCACTGCGCCCAGACTATGGTTTACAAAAGTGTTATTTGTCATAATCCCGATCGTGTTTATCACCGGCGACATCAGAATTCCATGTCTCTTGTTTCCATCAAACTCATTGTACGCTAAACTAAAATTCACATTTTTCTGTGGACTCTTTGTAAAATTACATGAAAGATACTCTATAGCTTCATCATAGTTATACTTAAAATGACTCTCATTCACAAGAATACTCCCTTCCATGCAATAGTTGCCAATTCTGAACCCAATCCACTCATTGAAGAAGAATTTCGCCTTGACCACTTCCATTTTTTGTGAGTGTTGTATACGTGTGTTGTTAAGCCTGTCGTACTCTGTTATCACACCGTAACCATGGTTTTCACAAAAGAAAGAGTTGTTAAGAAGCTGGTAGCCTCCTGCGTACGTGATGTTCACTCCACTTCTCTGGTTTCCTTCGATCCTCGAATTGTTGACGGAGATTTCTCCCGCCCCCTGATAGATCCTCAGACCTGCTCCGTAGTTATTGTCTGATATTATGGAAGAGTTAACCGAGACCTTACATCGCATGTCCTGGACATTAACTCCGTATCCCGTGTTGTTACTTGCTGAGGAATTGAAGAAACGGAGCTCCTCATCCAATCCTGTAATTCAAATTCATATGAATTAATGGCAAACAAGAATACTTGTTTATGGATAAGATTGATTGTCTTAGAAACACATAGACTGAATAAAAAATCAGCCATCACAAATGAACCTTCTGTTTTTATAAATATGAATTCTATATTTTTTTTAAAACAGAAAAATAATTTCCATCTCCTAAATCTTGATTATAAAATTTCCTTACCATCGTAGGAAACAAGATCCATTAAGAATCTCAGACAGGCTCGGAACTTCTTACAGCGATGTTCCGCAGGGTTAGTGGGTTGTGGAGGAAGTTTATACTGGAACCGAACCGTGATGCTTTTGCCCGAGGTTGTCACAGACTGTGGGAAGGATCCGTTAGAGACGGGAAACACCCCGAGGACGCGATTGCTGGTGGAGATTCCGTCATAGACTGTGATTGTTCCCTCAGCCTTCTCATCGCGCTCCATGAGAAAGAAATGGAGGGATAGTCTCCTCTTGTCTATTGTTGTGTAACTCTAAAAGAGAGGAAGAATATTCTCTTTATAGCTACATAGCTGCTTTAAATTGAAACCTTTGGTTCTGATTCTTTGATTAACAAAAAGAAACAATAATATATACACATGTATTTCAAAATTACATGATACATGTATATATTTTCTTTTTCCTGTAGTTTTCTAAACCTTCCCTCAGGATTATTTTTTAAAATGACTTTATAAGTAGGTCAAAATCTGTTCCTAAAGTATCAAAATATCAATCTTGCCTTTTTTTCTTATTACCGTATAAGTAGAAATTTTAGCGAGGATTTAATTTTGGCATTATGCTGCCATTTTTAAATATCGCTAAAAATTAATCACATTTTATTTGTTATAGCTTCTATAGCAAGCATTTTAAAATCGCTAAAATTACCTCTCGCTAAAAATAAATTACCATTTTTTAAGGATAAATCGCTAATACGGTATCATATTTTTTCTGACCAATTCAACAGATATGCATTAATTCAGGCCTAGGATGCACAAGTAATATCTCTCTTGTCTAAACAAAATAAATGTCAATAAAAGCATGCCCATTATTGCAGTCATTTAACTTATTAATAACCAGATGTATGACCCAGAAGCCATCTTTTCAGTTTTCCGTACCTTTATACAGTCAAGTCCATCAAATGCTGGTTTCTCTCCCCTTTCATCGATAATGTTCTCGTACATTGTGATGGGGAATCGTGGGAAGGCGAGGGCATTACTTCTACAGAAGGAGCGGCCTGTGGGGTAGTCCTTCTGGAAGGAGTGGATGGTGTAGTTAGTCATGTACATCTTTACGCCATCTCCCCAGTTATTGTCCATGTTGGTCATGTTTATCAACACCGCGCCCACTGCTGTCTGGATGAATGCTCCATAACCTAAAGTGAAAGTAAAAGTTCAGGTGACTTTATAGGCATCTCAAACATCAATAAATGATTAAATAAAGATGGTCAGAGTGCTTAAATAAGTTATAAAACCAAAAGAGAAGGTCTAAAGTAATTTTTTTATTACATTGCCCTGACCATTAAGCTTAATGTGCATTGCGTCCTTACCTCTATTGAACGACACTGTACTGTTAGCGATGTGGACACGGCCCCTTATCTCCGTCAAGTTTAATCCATCATACGCTCCGTACATGATAGACACATTATTCATCAGAGGAACATGAGGACTGGCGGATATCGAGGCTCGACCCTTCAGCATTCCGTCTAATTGGTAAGTGTCCCGTCCCGCGTACCAGACATCTAGGTACTCCAACCACGAGTAGGTCTCGGTCCGATTTATGTTCTGGTCTCGCACAAACTGGACCGTGGCGTTGTAGAACTCCAGTCCTCTCCAGTGAGTCTTGGCCAGATCTGGGCGGAGTCCGTCACACTCAAAGCCAATCACCTGCTGCCCATCTGTGATTGACAGGTCAAATTTATAATCATGTGACAATTTATAAACAGTACAAATCTGTGAACAGGGCAAAAACACAGGGATCCCTGGAAACACCACAAGTGCAATCAGGTGCCAAAGGGGAGTAAGTATCCCCATCAACTAATCACACAAGTTAACAAGATTTGGGTAAATATAACAAACACTCAACAATCATGAGAACATTTCTTTAGCTCATTATATTTTTTTTACATTTTGTTATATTTACAGATGTAATCAATTATTCTACTTGCAAATCTTTTTCCAACAGAGTAACCTTATATCCCATTTTAATAGTAAGAAATGTTTTCCCCTCATGAAAATCTTTATAAGATTAATATACATTTAAGCTTAATTTTTCCACTCAATGATGAAATGAGATCATTTGATGCCATAGAGATACATGAATAACAGAGTAAGTCTTCACACAATTTGGTCCCTCACCACAGATGTTGGCACCGACTCGGATATTAGTTTTTCCTGGACAATCAAACAGACTGTTCTCTGATCCCAGACAGTTTGGTCGCTCAAACAGCATGTAGTCTGTCTTGTTCCGGGAGAAGGAGTGGTACGTAAAGTTTCCCCACAAGAATCCCAGGTGACGACAAGTTACGTTGGCATCTATTTTGGTATAACTGTAATTCAGAAAAATTAATCGTAATCATAAAAATTAATCGTATTCAGAAAAAATAATCGTAACAGTTAATATATAATAATTCTTTACAGATAAAGCTCCTTAAGAGTTGTGAATGACAATAGAGGCACACATTTTCCTTAAATAAGATTATCAGAATGAATTTTTTTTTATTCAAAGTGATTGTACACTTTTGTGTGATAGATCCAGACTTACTTTACGTAGTTTGTACAGATTCCCCGCCATCGCCCACGATAAGACAGCTGTAGTTGTCCGTCCCGTGTTGTGTTTCCGTCGACCAATCGGGCGTCATCAGGAAATGTGGACTCCGAGACATCAATCTTGTCAGGATCCCTCGTCATCACGATCCTACCTCCGTCTTCATCACTGCCCTGAAATAATCAAATGTTTAACTTTAAATTGTTACTAGGTACTGTAAACCAACTTTTATTCGCGTGCGAAAATTTAGCGATGTATTGTCATCGCGAATATTTCATGAAAGTCCTTTTTCTATCAAAAACAGTTCCAGAAAGACTTGATCGCGAAAATTACTCGTCGTGAACTAGTTAACTTCTGGTAAATCGCGAAATAAAGTCGTCGCGAATAAAAGTTGGTTTACAGTAATATATGCTTACTTGTTTCAAAAACTATTTGGAAAACATGAAAATTTAATCAAATGGAATCTTTATAGCATGCTTTTTTCTAATGGCAGTCAACTAATAAAATAATAAAAAGTAAGAGCGTATATTAGTTTTGACTTAAAATATTAAATTCATTATGGCCAGTCACTTAAATCACCGACTTACTCTAGCTATCAGTGTTCCGTTGATGATCATGCCATATCCGGGGCTAAAATGGAACACAGTGCCCGGTTCTATCCACAGACAGCTTTTGGGCTCCAGCTCGATATTCCCTCCCATCTTGTGAGGACTACCAGCTTTTAAAATTGCTTTTTTCTCGCCTTCTTTGATGACAACTCCAAACTGAAAATTCACTTTCTCTAGAACATAGGGGTCCTTACATATTTCTGGGGCCATATGTAGATAAACTAAATTGTAAACGATTCCATTCGCGACCACAGGCTTTGGCCCCACCGGTGGGGGAGTAATTGGGGCCTGTCCGAAAGCCAGAGAAATTGTCAACAAAATTATTCCCACGGTTAGGCTCCATTTCAAATTGTAAACAGTCGCCATTTTTCCTGTTTATTACCCTGTCATGGTCACAATTCAATTTTCACACCTGTAATCCAGGTACCGTGCAGGTAAAAATGCACTTTCTTTCTTTGGAAGTGTGCCGTTGGATTTTCTTACCTATCCTACACCTACGAAATAGTTTTTATTGTTCCCGACACAGTCATTGCCCGTTTCAAATTAGTCTTACTTCCTGTTGACCCCGTAATAAGTGTGTCACCACACAGGTATGAAAAGCGTCGGAAGAGTCACGTGACTTATTCGGACAGAAACGGCGTGACGTCGACAGGATGTATGGGTAGATCGTACTTTTAAGTTCTGTTAGGTTCCACTACACATATGCCAACGAGCTTTCAAAGAATTTTGAATTTTCTGACTATTTTTGACTTGACAAGTTTTATAAGATATTTGTATTACTCATTCATTAACATTATAATATTCTTACCATGCAACGGATCTTAATGCAAATGTAAGAATTAAAAACAAAACAATATGAAAAAAGTATAAAAATCATGAATATTAACCAAGTATTTCACTGCCGAAACCTTAGTTTAAATACTCTGTGGATATTAATATAATAATAATAGTTTAAATATCACCAAATAATTTTTATGAAGTATTTCCCTTTGAGGTATATTTAAATTACCAACAAAATCGAACACCCCCCCCCCTTTTAAAACGTGCACATTTTTTCTTATGTTCTGAATTGAGTGAAATTCGTGAAAAATGGAGAGCTTCTTAATTAAGACTTAAAAGCTTGAAATTTCACTTGTTAGCATTATTCATATATTTCAAACGCAGTTTTGAAATTAGACTGAAATAGACCCAATTCAAATCCACTTAGATTCTTTTTAACTTATATTTTGAAAAAAAAGCAAAACACAATACAGCCACGTATATATGTGGCAAAGTACTTTGAAAAAATTACGCACTTTGAAAATTTTTTTCAAAATGCGTTAAAATTGGGACAAAATCAACGCACTTTAAAAAAGAAATTTTCAAAGTGTATCAAATTTGGGACAACATGAACGCCTTTGTAAAAATTTTTCAAAGTGCGTTAAAAGTGTACATCTACATTTTTACTATGGAGGCACTTAACGCACTTTGAAAAAAAATACTAGTATTTTAAATAAAATTTCCATACTTATCTTTTAGTAATAGTAATGACATATTCTAATACAAATTAAAATATAAATATAAAATGCATATTAAATTATTTTTTTCTTACAACATAAGATTAATCTATTTTAATGACTGTAAAATAAAGGCCATCATCTTGCAAAGGAATTAGAAAAAAATATACTTCTAAAAACTTATCAAATAACTATAAAAAGACAGTTATGTTGTTTTGGAAAATTATTTTTAATCAGGATACAAACTGAGACTCCATTTTGTTGCATTTCCCGTACCCCTAATGGTCATATGTAAAGTGTCTATATCTCAGATCCTAAAGTGACGTCATTAATAAAATGTTATTCAACAGGGTTCAAATAATGTTTTATCATATCTAAAATTTGCTAAAATATTGACTACTTTAAGTCGTGCACATTAATATTTTCAAAGTGCGTTAATGTGGTCTATATTAACGCACTTTGAAAATAAAAATTATTTTTCAAAGTGCGTTAATTTGGTCCCAAATTTAACGCACTTTGAATTTTTTTTTCAAAGTGCGTTGTAACACACGTAGCATCGTTTTTGAAAGTGGGGGGGGGGGGGGCAGCCAGAGAGAAGAAAAAAAATGAACTTACACCTGAAAAAGTCGACCTGCAAGCAAAAAGAAAAAAAAAAAGAAAAAAAAAGAAAAGAAAAGAAGAAAAAAAATTGTCCAAAAAATCCTATTTCTGTGTGTGTGTGTGTGTGTGGGGGGGGGGGGGGGGGGGGGGGGTGCACAAATCTTTTCTATGCCAACTTCTTTCAGTACCCATTTTTTTTTTAAACTACATTACTGCATTTAGCTTATACCTCAAAAAGTTGGGGTGCAACCAGCCTTTCAAAGTACATTTCCTATAGTATAAGTAATGCTGGGGAAAAAGTGGGGGGGGGAGGGGACAAGCCCCCTGCCCCCAAGTTGGTACGCACCTGCTGAATACGCATTTTTAATAACTTATTTTACAAAAATATGACAAGAAGCTTTTAAGATATTACATGTAGTAGAGAATTACAAAAAATGATTGAAATTAATTCAATAATAATAAAATAAAAACAAAAATAACAAAACATCTTCTATGCTATATATACTGGCAATCATAACAATTTTATAAAAATTATTTAGTTAGGAAGAAAAAGGGGTTGGGGGTCCCCGTCAAACACGAGTCAGTGTTGTGTGGGTTGGGGGTCATGGGGATACGGGGAAGGGGTATTCGATCTCAGAAGAATAAACAACACAGAATTAAGAATAGAAGTGCAGTGTTGTCTACAAAGCCCTGCCCTGTAAAGGAAGAAACAGACTGAGTTTAAGGAGGGTATAATCTAAGGGTGGGGTGAGCACTCCCCTCCCCCTCCCCCCTTTCCGTACATTTTACGCGCTGTTTAAATTTACTTGTGTGTTGAAATTTAAAAAAAAAAAAAACAGTGAAAAGATAAAAACAAAAAATAACCCTTTAATCCTGCTAAAAATAGGTTATGAAAAGGAAACACTCGACTGCACTTAAAGTCGATATCATCTGTTTCTGTGTCAATTAAGGATCAGAGTGCGTAGAACTTGTAGAATAGTCTGGAACGATCTGGACGACTCGGAGGACACCCTAAAGCAGGTAAATCACAATTACTTAACTAATCAAAGGTAAATAGATCATAGTGATTATTGACTGCTGCTGCACACACATAACCTGAATACATTAATTTCTTGTATATGCGTTTTAAACTGTGATAAAGATATCGCATGTAGAGAGGTCTGTTTTTTTTATCTTTATCTTCTTCGATTTTTAATACATTCATGATCGGATATAATTAAATTTATTTAAAGAAATGTAATTAGTGAAACTGATATTCATAAATTGCCTATAATATGGCATTTTTAATAATATGCATATGTAACAATTATAAATTTGGTAGATCTAGATGAGAGACCATAAAAAAATAAAATTAACAAACAGCATATATATTATTAGATATATCATTCATCATTTTAAAGGGGAGGACCATTTGATTGTGAAAAATTCCAAGTCATTTATTTATTTTTATGTCGATGAAAGAACAAATTAGTTTCTACGAAAGCCCATTGAGCTTATTTTCGTAGGTTAAAAAAAGATAAATTCTTCGCGATATAACGCCTAACTTTCGCATTATAACGCGAAACTTATGCGAATAAACGCGTAACTTTCGCATTATAACGCGAAACTTTTGCTGTTTAACAAAGACATTTGCATATAGATATCTTAACTATCTTTTGATTTTGTTATCTTAGTTTATTCATTACAAAGAAAAGCAAAAGGCCATTTTGATCTCGGGCTATCACAAGCTACAATTTTAACTTTTCTTTCTATTGAATCCATAGTACCATCACATTTGTCTTTCTCAACGCTGTTAAAACCATTCAAAGTAAATGCGGGTTTTTCGTAAGTTAAACTTCATGATTATGAATTTCGGGGAAGAAATCAATCCTTTTAGGCATCTTTTTAATACACTCTCAAAAGAATTTTGAAATAACAAAAATTGACAAAATAAGAAAATGTGTAAATTTGTCAATTGTGTTCCACCACATGGGTGAAAACTGGATGGCAAATTTTCATTTTTCTCCGTTCGATTCACTGTAGAAATACGACATCGTATTTTGAGGTTGCACCATGTGGTCATTTTATTGCTTACGAACACATTGACGTGTAGAAACTCGTTGCTGTATTCTTTAATAGTTTTGATTTATGGCGATAGTCCACGAACTTTACAATCACCCTTCGGATATATATTGGAGAAAAATTAAGAAAAGTAGACCCCTCCTCCTCGTTCAATTTGTAATTATAGATATCCATCTATATTTATTACTTGAGAAACAGCTTGAGAAAGTGTCAAGTGGAGACTTTCCTTCAATAAAGTAACCAGTCTAAAGAATTTCTTTAATTCAAGAACTGAAAACGTACAAGAAAGTAAAATTCATTTTATTAATTGGTAGGGTTTTGAAATAAAAAAAAAATTGTGATGATTAATCTATCCCAGCGGCCAGGACATCTTCTGAGGAAATGATAATTTATTAATAAATTCATGAAAGATCCTGTCAGCGTTCATGTTCTTATCTGTCAGTAAAGATCAAAGTTCCTGAAAAAACATTACTACATGCATATAATTTCGCGAAATAACGCGTAAGTTTCGCATTTATTCGCGAAAGTTTCGCATTATAATGCGAAAAATTTATTTTTTTTAACCTACGAAAATGAGCTCAGTGGGCTTTCGTAAAGTGCAGATTACATGTATTTATTTTTTTTATTTCTAAAATTGGCCAGTCCCTCCGGTTCTCAGATTTAAATGTTCGTCTCATAAGAAAACGGGCGATAATTAATGAGCCAGATGGGTCCGTGTGATTTTTCTCAAGAAATAAGATATCATCAAATTTACCAACCAGAACCCAGAAACATTGGAAATGAAAATTCTTACCAGTACATGAAGCTGCAATTTCTGAATTGTTTTTAGTCATAGGCGTCGGAACCGGGGGGAGGGGGGTTTAGCCCCTCACTTCCTTACAAAGATGGATATAATATAGGTTTACCCCCCACACTTTCAATTAGCCACCCCATTTTCTATTTGCTTCCGACACCTATGTCAACGATCAGTAAATTCACATACATCCCCTTGATTCGGTAGGCGGAAGGGGGGGGGGGAGGTTAAGAAATATAGCACTGAAACTTCCAATTGCCCGTGATGCCTTCATTTAATTTTTCCCTTTTTTATATTTGTTTCAATGTCAAGTTCATTAAGCAGAATTTTCAAATAGCTGGATACCCTCATAATATTTAAACATAAATTAATGTAAAATTATCCATATTATTTCAACATTTCATTTCTAATGTTTCAGAATGGATCCCCACACCGGGTCCTCGTCTGCGAGTCAATGTGATCTGTGTAAAACTGCTGAGGTACACGTTCACTGCGATACCTGTATCGTCAACCTATGCAAAGTCTGTGTGGGAGAACATGTTTCAACTGACGAATCCATTGATCACAAAATCGTCAAATTCCAGGCAAGAAAATCCATCTCATTCACTCCTGTGTGTAAATCTCATGAGAGAAAACGATGTGAAATGTACTGTACAAAATGCGACTTTCCAGTCTGCACCGCTTGCATCGCATCTGATCAACATCTCGGTCATAAATTACTGCAAATGACCCAGTTTCTAAAGGAAAAGAAAGAAAAGATGATTGAAGAAAAGAAAGAACTGAATGAATCAATTTTCCCAACCTACCAGGACATTGCCTCTGATGTACAAAACAGAATGAGTCAGTTAGAAAAGGAATATGGAGATCTCTCAATAGCCATAACAAAACATGGAGAAGATTGGCACAGAGAAATTGACAAACTTGTAAAGAAACTTCAGACAGAAGCTAAGGAATTGAAAAATATGCAGTTACAAACCCTGCAGAGACACTTGGATGAAGTGAACAAGAAGATTTCTGACATCAAGGATGAAATCAAGTCAATCCAAGAAACCCTGGACTCTGGCGATTCATCTTTGGTGCTGGAGGCTGTCATTAGAATAGGAGACTACAGGACAGTCCCACACAAAATCATTGTTTCTTTGCCAAAATTCAATACAAAAAAGTTCCATGAGGAACTATTCGGCTCATTGTCTTCTATTGCTTCAACATCTGAAGAACATGGTTACAGCTTGAAGAAGATGCAGAAACCCTTTAAAGTCAGAAAGCTGCTTGATGAACCAGAGATCGTTGCCACTATTGACTCGGGGTATGTGGACCTGTGCAATGTGGCCTGTCAGAATGATGAAGAAATCTGGACAAGTGGATACGGCAAAATGATGAAGCTCTTCAGCATCAATCGGGGATCACTTCTTACTACAATCACGACCAAGTCCGGCAATACACCTACAGATATAGCGGTGACAGAGAGCCAAGAGCTCGTTTATGCAGATTGCAGCGACAATTCGGTGAATGTTTTGAAGAATGGAGGGATAGAGGAGGTGATCAGACTCCAAAAGTGGAGTCCACGTGGCATTTGTGGTACCTCCTCTGGTGACCTCCTGGTCTCAATGGAAAACGATGACTTCACCCAGTCCAAAGTTGTCCGATACTCAGGCTCCACAGAGAAACAAACCATTCAGTTTGATGTGAAAGGCTTACCGTTTTATTCTTTCACCAATAACACTAAATACATATCTGAGAACAGGAACCTGGATATCTGTTTGGCTGATTACATAGCAGGAGCAATAGTGGTGGTTACTCAAGCTGGGAAACTGAGATTTAGGTACACTGGACATACTCCTGCTCCAAAGAACAAACCTTTTCACCCAGTAGGAGTCACCACAGACAGTCAGAGCCACATCCTTACAGCTGATTATAACAATGACTGTGTCCACATCATAGACCAGGATGGACAGTTCCACCGTTACATAGAATGCGCATTGAAATATCCCTATGGACTGTGTATAGATACAATTGACAATCTGTTTGTTGCTCAATACAAAAAGAGCCAAGTGAAGAAAATCAAATACTTGCAATGAAATTCAGATGCCAAATTTGACTCGCATAAATGATGAATGCAGTAAATAACATAAATGAATATTTCTGCTTTCAAAGAACTACTGGTTTCTATAAAGATTAAACCTTGGATATTGTGTAGAATTGCAAACAATCACAAACTGAACTTCAAAAGCTCAATAAAATAAAGAAGTGATCATATGAAAATTCAAATCTCAAAGTGAATTGTTGTAAAATTTTAGTTTAAAAATAGTGCCTCCCTTCTCTCCCAACTCGAAGTAAAAGAAAATAGGTCGGTAGGTGGGTGGGACATTTTTTTTCCCAGAAAATTTCAACAATTTTGTTGACAAGATTTAGGAGAAAAGAGTAAAAATTAGAATTGTTTCCTGGAAATTAAAAAAAAACAGTTCTGAGTCGCCCCATATATAGCCAGTGGGTCTGGATAGGGCAAACAACATTTTCTTTAAAAGATGGCCTAAATGTAACTAAGTTACACTAATCAAAAATTGTTTACAGAAACATTTAATTTACAGTACTGTAGTCAAAGAATAAATGCCATAAATCTTTTCTCAGTGATTAAATCCATCAGGTTTTAAAATATATAATTATCTCACGTACATTGTACTGCTTTTTTTCAAAACTGAAATGGCGAACGACCCCAAATAGTAAAGTTGGAACAAAGTTTGGGGGACAATTAGAGGTCACTAAGTTACACAATAAAAGGGAGAAAAATCTTTGAAAAATGTATGTAGAACTGCAAGGTTGTTGATGATAATCTTCTTATATGTGACGTTAAAGTGCATGTGACATTAAGTAATTATTTCTGTTATGACGTTATCTTAATTATGACGTCATGGTAACGTCAATGTTATGCAATGTTTGAACAATCAGTCTAGATAAACAATTTTATCCTGCAACTACCCCTTGCATTGACCTAATAATGGTAACCTGATAAACCAAATCTTTATCCGGTCACTGCCCTAATAAAGCCTCGTGAATGTATTCCAACGTTCTAAAAGCATTGTGACGTCACGTATATTGCAATGTTTACGCCATGGCGTCATAGTTTCAGCTGCAGAGATGTGCCTAAATCTGTCGGAAATAGCTTGTTTTGGACGTTCAAATGTAAAATTTTGTTGCAGGATAAACAAAATACATGATAACTGTCTTGAAATATAAGCGATATTTGGGCTCGGGTCGAAAACGTAAGAGCGCTCGTCAAGCCTCGCCCTCTATCACGTTTTCTTACCCTCGCCCAAATATCGCTTATATTTCAAAACAGTAACCATGTATTTTATTTCAACGTGATTAGAGGTGTTTTTCTTTCTATCTGACTCAACATTTTGGTGCTGTGACCAGTGGGAATAATCGCAAACTAGAAATGGATGGGATCAAGTTAAAGGCACAGCGTTCAGGCCATCGTGGAGTTATAACCAAAATTTTGAGGAGAATTTCTGAGAATGAAGATGAAAATGGAAAAGCTGAATTGATCAAGGTACTGGAGGAGAAGTTGGACACATTAGAGAAAATCAACAATGAAATTCTACAAGAATTAGAGAAAGAAGAAGAGATTCAAATGGAGATCGAAGATTCAGATGAGTACATGCTAGATTTGAGACTAAAATTAGCAGAATTAACAAAAAATGGAAAGGCTTCTGAGAATCTTAATCAATGTACATCCAGGAATTTAAATGTAAATGCACCACAGTTCATTCCAAGCAGTGAATCATTAGAACCCAACATAGGAAAACCTAACATTCATAATCATAAACTGCCGAAATTAAACCTGCCAGTTTTTTCGGGAGATTTAAATCAATGGCAAATATTTTGGGATTGTTTTGAGACAAGCATTCATGGGAACGACAGTTTGTCTAATGTTGAAAAATTTAGCTATCTACGATCGCTGCTATGTGGGGAAGCCCTTCGCACTGTGTCAGGATTCAGTTTGACCAATACCAACTACAGACAAGCAATAGATGTTTTATTTGAAAGATACGGACAAAATCACAAAATCATCAAAGCACATATCCAAAGTTTAATTGACATACCATTCCCAAAGTCTAATTATGACAGTTTGAGAAACTTCTTCGACAAAATAGAGTGCTGCATTAGAGCATTAGAAGCTCTAGGAACTGATGAAGCCACATATGGGACAATTTTAACTCCAATGTTATACAACAAATTACCAGCAGAAATTCGGAAGAACATTACCCGGGACAAAGGAGATGATCAATGGGAATTGCATTCACTGAAGAGAGCCATTAAGAAGGAGCTATGTGTTCAAGATAGTGGACAAGCAATGCACTCAAAACAGGAAACACAGGAATTCATTCCAACAGCTAACTTTGTTGCAGGGTCAAGTCATAAAAGGAGCTACAAGCAGGAAAATTATGTGAAGCAATGCTTATTCTGCAGTGGAATTCATTTTACCAATCAATTGCCATAATGTCCAAGACTATGATAAGAGAATATCAATCATCAAACAGAGGAGAGTCTGCTTCAATTGCTTCGGAAACCACAAAGTAAGTGAATGTCAATCAAATTTTAGATGCAGGAATTGTAAGAAGTCTCATCACACAAGTATTTGCAAGAATTCGCAACTACCTCGGAGTTCCTCAGAGAGTGATGTCACAAAGTCCGAGATCACACAATCGTCTTAACCACGTCAACGAGAGCAGTCATTCCAGCTTCCTCTTCAACACAGGTGACAGCCAACACTGAAGTGCTGCTGAAAACTGCTGTGACACCAATTTGGTATAGAAATCAAGAAATCAGCTGTAATATATTGCTTGATGAAGGGGCTCAAAATTCATTTATTACAGAGGAGTTAACACAGAAACTTGATATCAAATCAAGAGGATCCGTTACCCTAAGAATTTCAGCATTTGGAGACAAGAATATTGAAATTCGTCATCTTGAGAAAGCAACGGTACAGCTAGAAACACAAACTGGAGACAAAATTCCAATGGAGGTCATCATTATTCCAAAGATTGCAGCTCCAATCTCAAACAGATCACGCGTCAATATTAAGGAACTCGCATACCTTAGAGGATTAAAATTGGCACACCCGGTTAGCACAGAGGAACAGTTCCATATTTCAATTCTCATTGGTGCGGACTACTATTGGAGCATAGTAGGGGACAAAATTATCCGAGGAAATGGATCCACTGCAGTCGAATCAAAGGTTGGATATCTAATATCTGGACCTATCCACTCAACAGGACTAATGGGGAGTGCACATTCTTGGATACAATTTGAAAACCAGATTTACGACGTTCCTCCCAGAGACATATTTGTTTCGAAATTTTTGAGACAGATATATCAAGACGATGAAGGAATTACTAGTACTGAGCACAATATATTTCCAATTTCAAGGTCACATCAAAGTCACTCTAATACAAACAGAATGATGTCAAGGAATCCTCAGAGAAATCCCAGATTTCAGAAAGTCTTTGATGGGAAGATGGCATTGCATGCACCACAACAGATGGTGGGATTCTGTACTGTATTACATGAACTCAGCAGTGAGCAGTATAGAGACTTGGAGAGCGATGAAAATAGACACCAATATAGTTATAGAATGATGGAAGAACCATGTGAAGTAAGATGTAGGGAGAATAGTGTTCACGTACAAAGAGGAAGAGGAACGTACAACAGACTTGTCCACAAAAGACATTATTACCGAAGGACAGGAACTACATGCAACAAAATCAAAATTGGAGACGTCGTCCAAGTCCATGATGATTTCACAAAACGCATCAGTTGGAAACTTGCTGTAGTGGTAGATCTCGTAACTGGCGGAGATGGACTCACAAGATCAGCAGTCTTACGTTTTAGTAACGGAACCATATCAAACCGTCCCATTACGAAATCATATCCCCTTGAACTAAACGAGTCAGATTCCAAAGTGAGGAGGAGTGAAAGACTTTCCAATTAATTTTTTTTTTGGTAAAACACAACGCGAAATACGAACTTTCTATCATTGTAAATTGTGATTGACATTTTGCGGCCCGGAGTATGTTGATGATAATCTTCTTATATGTGACGTTAAGTAATTATTTCTATTATGACGTCATCTTAATTATGACGTCATGGTAACGCCAATGTTATGCAATGTTTGAACAATCAGTCTAGATAAACAATTCAACGTGATTAGAGGTGTTTTTCTTTCTATCTTACTCAACAAAGGTTAAATAATTCTGCCCTAAATAAACAAACATAAGAATTGCCAGTGTTGTCTTGGTTTTCTTCGTTTTCTTGGCAATGACATTCGTAACCCTAAATATGTAAATATGTTGAACATTTTCTTTGGGTTCGTATTTGGTTTTCATTTTGACAAATTGTACATTCATAATCATTTTTAATTACTATAAGTACGAGATTGAGGTCGGGATGGGGATAAGTGATTTAACTTTGTATCTGATTACAGTTATACATTGTTGTAGGTATTAATTTTTAAGTTCAATGCAGGGGAGTTTTATAAACTATGAAAAAAATTGGTAATTTAATCTGTATTTTTATAAAAATGTACATCAGAGTAACAGTCCTTTTGATTTTTTTTTAAAAAACAATATTAAGTTATATTGGTGTACATTTTAAAACTCAATTCACCTCTGAATAAAATTCTGAAATAATCTCATTATCATCATATTTAGAAGTTTCAACAGCTATTCACCATTACAATGTTAAATCTGAAACACAACATTAACATTTCCTCTTTGACATAACCGTTGCGTAAAATGACAGGTAATATGAATGGGTAAGAGTTACCTCCTCTTAAACGCATTCCTCTGCATTGCAACAACATGTATAGACAGGACATATTAAAAATTCTACACTTGGTCATTATTGTTTATAAAATATCGAAGTCAAAAGGAACAGTAAACATTATTTACAAAATTAATCAATCGGTTTCCAACTGCTGGTCTGATTCTTTGAAAAAATTGTCATGATTGAAAATTAAATGGCTTAGAAAATGCTTTATATAAAAGAAATAAAGTACCATATTTTAATATCCTTGTCTCTGTTGCATATACATATCTTTTTTTTGTAAAATCTTCTCATCGTCCTAAAAGAAAAAAAAAACCTTCAATCAGCTTTGTATTACACAATGCACAACTTTTTTTCTGATTATTGATAATAAAACAATAATTAACAACATAACAAACACTTCATCAGAATTATGTGTTACTGCTTTTCAGTTGTAT